ACACGGCTACAACACTGCATACATCCTGCCTAAGATGTCATTAGTAAGGGCCATCCCAGATCTTTACCTCAAATCAAGAAAGAGGGGGTGTCAAACATACAGCTAAGGGTAGCATAAAATCCCTCCTTTACCTGTAAGGGGTTAAGAAGCTCGAATAACCTGGTGGGCACCTGACCAAAAGGACCAATAAGGGAAGAAGATACTTTCAAATCTGTGGGGGGAGTTTTGTTTTGTGCTTGCTTTGTGGTTCTCTCCGGGACAGAGAGGGACCAGGGCAGGAAAAACGATCTCCTAAAACACTGCCTGAAATAAGCATCCAAGATTACAAAAACTGTAAGTAATAGCAAGGAAATGCGTTAGCTTATCTTTTGTTTTAGCTTGTGAATTTTCCCTATGCTAAGAGGGAGGTTTATTCCTGTTTTTTGTAACTGAAGTTTTGCCTATAGGGCTGTACCACATCCCAGTTTAGGGTTTTCACCATTTGAACTTGTGTAGGGCCGCGAGGTTAAGGGGCCATTACAGTTGGTGAATCAGCAATAGGAGGGGTTTACGCCTTCTCCAGGAACTAACATTCTGGACTTTGTAAACAACGTACAAAACACCCTCCAAGACTCTTGCTAGAGAAAGCCTAAAAGATGCTCAAGAAGAGCAAAAGGCCTGGTATGATAACCATGTCAGAGAGTGTTCCTTCAAAGTAGGGGACCAGGTCACGGTCTTGAAGGCACTCCAGGCCCATAAGATGGAAGCATCGTGGGAAGGGCCATTCATGGTCCAAGAGCACCTGGAAGCTGTTAACTATCTCATAGCATCCTCCACCTCAACCCTAAAGCATACCATGTTAATTCTCTAAAGCCCTTTTACTCCAGAGAATTAAAGGTTTGTCAGTTTACAGCCCAGGGAGGAGATGACGCTGAGTGGCCTGAAGGTGTCTACTACAAAAGAAAAAGTGACAGTGGTGTGGAAGAGGTGAACCTCTCCATAACACTTTGACGTATGCAGCGACAGCAGATCCAGGAGCTGTGCACTAGCTTTGCACTGATGTTCTCAGCCACCCCAGGACAGACCGAACGGGCATACCACTCCATTGATACAGGTAATGCTCGCCCAATTAGATCCCAACCTTACCGGGTGTCTCCTCAAGCCAAAACTGCTATATAACGGGAGATACAGGACTTGCTATAGATGGGCGTAATCCACCCCTCTAACAGTGCATAGGCATCTCCAGTGGATCCAGTTCCAAAACCAGATGGGAAGATATGCTTTTGCGTGGACTACCGTAAGCTAAATGCTGTAACTCGCCCAGACAACTATCCAATGCCACGCACAGATGACCTATTGGAGAAACTGGGACGTGCTCAGTTCCTCTCTACCTTAGACTTAACCAAGGGGTACTGGCAAGTACTGCTAGATGAATCTGCCAAGGAAAGGTCAGCCTTCATCGCCCATGTAGGGCTGTATGAATTTAACATGCTCCCTTTAGGGCTGCAAAATGTGCCCTCCACCTCCCAAAAACTTGTAGATAGTCTCCTAGTGGGACTGGGAGACTCTGCAGTCGCCTACCTTAATGATGTGGCCATCTTTTCTGATTCATGGGCAGAACACCTGGAGCATCTACAAAAAGTCTTCGAGCGCATACGGTAGGCAGAACTAACTATTAAGACTAAAAAGTGTCAAATAGGCCTAAACAGAGTGACTTTGAAGAGTAATCAAATTAGTGAGACAAACCTGAAATAAGCATATATAAAAAGGGTATTACTTGGCTTGTAATTTTCATTTCTGTAGTCATTATAATAAATATTCTTGACTCTTTCCACCTTTACTTTCCCCTTAATCTGCTAGCAAGAAAACAGTTAGCACATCAATATTGACTTCTCTTAAATCCACTGTTTAAACAAACAAGAAAAAAAATCAATTTCTCCCCCGTACATTGAGATGTACACTACACAAACACATTCAGATTCATAGTTTATATAGTAAAACCTACTGTCCATTTGTGCTCACAGTATAAAAAAAATAAAGGGTGTTAATGTCTGAAGTCAGTCACATTGTCAGTCACTTTCAATCCAATTTTGTTCCAGGATACACCTCAATTATATAATAAATAATATCTTCAGTTTTAAAGTTTCCTAAAAATATCTTCAGCATTTTCTTAATATTAAGATTCAATTTCATCTAAATTCAGAAAAACGCACAGTGAAGTCTATATTCAGACAAGTTTTTTCTTTGATTTTTCAATACAAACACCAATACAAAATGTAATAAGCAATACCTCCAAATACAACTATCCTTATATTTCCATAGCCATATTACTTTTCAGTACTAAGAAACAAGCAGTAAGTTTCCTGTTCTCTAACCTTCTCTATTAAATAGCGCACACACCACCCAAGCAAAAAATAGCATTTTATGTATTATCTTTTGAGAAAGTAATCTCAATACTCAAAGTTAACATCTGGTAGATTAGCTTTAAGTAAATTAGTAATTTATAACAGGATGAGAAATGCACACTGCTACATAGCCTAGGAGATTAGGTAAACAAACTTTATATTTGGTAGTAAGAAGAAAACAAATGTCTCACTGAAAGTTTATGTCTACAGGATGTCCTTATGTAAATGGTACATCTCTAGACATATATACTTTATGTACTTGTAAACTATAAATATTTAGAGACCGAATGACAAACAGATGGAAAATTGAGGAATTCAAGATTACAGAATAAAACTAAAATAT